TGTAAGAGACGTCACTGTTCGTGTCGGTTTGTAATCGGTGATTTCTCACCATCGTAACAACTTGTTCGCAATATATTGTCAGCATAAGAAATCTGTGGCTTAATTTCAGTTCTTCAGTTGATTGTAGAGGATTTTGTTACGCTGAAATGAAATATAATAGAATTTGCATCCGTCATGTTTGTCACATTTCCCAAAAATACACACAGATTGAGATATTGGAAAAAGACCCAAAGTATGTTTAATATGTTCAGAAGATATTGTGTTGTTTAAATTCATCTGAAAATTCATAAAAAGAAATGTCATCATAAAAATTGTATTTTGTTGTTTTAGTACTGCCCTGATGAAGCTATGTAGCATAACATATATTAGGATATATACAGTACTAAATAACTTTATATAAATTATTCTGTTGAAAGGGTCTTAATATTGTGTCGCCTCTGTTACTGTTGATTCAAGGTCTTTTGTGATGGTTGTGCATCTCTGGTTTGTCCCACAAATGTCCTCCAGATCCGTCTGAGTTCTTCCTCACAGTGGCTATAGTATGTTGAGATCCAGTTTTACTCAGGGACTGACAAAACCATCAGAAAAGATTGAAAACAGTCATTGATGCTTGAGGAAACCACACAGTATCACAAACCACACATGATGTCAAGAACTAAGTATGTAAACTTTTCAACAGGATCTTTTGTGTAATTCAAATTACTTTGTGTTGTGAAATATATGTACATATCTATTGTGCAGCTTTTTTAGGGCAGTACTAAATATAAAAAAAAATTTCCATTGTAAGATTTTATCTTAATAGACTATTTTATTTTTGTTTAGTTTATTCCTAAAATAACTCTATTATGCCACAGCTATGAACCACAAATTGATAAGCTGATGATTTCTTTTCCTGAATGAGGAAGACTGTAAATTTACATGTGCTAAAATTAATTTGATCATATATAAATTTTTTTTAGAAGTACGCTAGCACACAGACATGGAATTTTTTTTTATTTTATGGGGACTTTAAGCACCTTAAGTCATTGCCTATCTATGAAATGATGGTGAGAGGGAAACTAGAATGTAAAGATAAAAACCAAAATGATTTTTCATATTTGGCCTTACATGTTAAGGTACAGTATCTCTAATAGATCTACACCAGCACAGTCTAGAAACAATGCTTTCATCTTTTTAAACAGTATTGCACCAGCTTTGAATTCAACGTGACTTCAAAACTCATAAATGAGAGAGGTTCGTGTGTTTTGTTATTGAGACAGCAGGATGGCACATTTACGTGTAAAATTTTATTAAACAAACTTTAATAGGTTACTACCCTCCTGAAAACAAAGACCGTTTATGACTATTTTCAGTCAATCATGAAAATGCTCAAAGCGTTTTGAGATATTGTGAGAAGAAACAACAGGCCATGCAGATCCTACATGAGCGGATCTTGTAATCATTTTCATTATTTTTCATATTGCTTACTGACAGTAAACTGGACCGTTTCTCAAGATAAGAGCAATCTGTCCGTTGCGTTTGTGATTGTTTGATTGTTTCATGAGATCTAATTCCACAGCATGATGTCCTACAGACGCTCCCTGTCTTTTTCTTAAGTTTCAGTTTTTCACTGACTGTAATTTGATGCTATGTTTCTCAACCATCTTTTCATTAAATATATTTATAGCCAACCTGTGATGTTTTTACTAAGATGGTGTTGTCAATTGAGTTTTAGTGTCATAAAAACTTCTGAAATTATAATACGTAAAAAAAATACTATATATATATATAATAAAAAAGATATTTGACAAATCACCCAAAATTACTGATAACAACCTGCATAATTATTCAATTTCTGCTTCTTTTTTTTTTTTGATGCAGTAATGTTTTTATGCTTGTTTCATGTCTAACTCTTAGTGTAACATTTTGTTTCTTCAGAATAAATTATAAAATGTACTAATTTATGGAAGTTGCTTTTCCTGTTGCACAATAGTGTAATGGGTGTAGAAAGTGTGCATTAAACATCAGTCAAATGCCGTTATCTTTAAAACTTCGAAACAATATCACTCAACACACTTAAGCTTAGACAACAATAAAAACTCTCAGGTCACATTATAAAATCTTTATTAACTATACATCTTTATTAAAACAAACCATAGTTTGCTAAAAATAAAAGAATGCTTTTCCAGTCCCATCTTTATCCAAAGATATCCCAGTCTGGGGTAAATCACAAATCTCTCTTTTGCATAGACTAAACGCTCAACACCAGGACAAAAATCAGGGTTATGACAAAAATAAGATCGATTTAATGGCGCAAAAGTGCTTCTCTGTACAACCGCATTTATTATCCCATCCATAGGGTCCTACATTAACTTTGGGGTGGCAGCATGGTGGGCAATAAATGGTTCGTATTTTCTAGAATATTACAAAATTGGGGGGAAAACACTTTGTGGACTTAGAAATGTATAAGTTCAATCAAGGTGGTAGTTGAGGAAGCTAATGTATTTTTTAGTACAGTTACATACTTCAGCATGAGGAAATGACTAAAGTTGAATGTCTGAATTTAAAGCTTTGGCCATAATGCTAGATAACACACCTCTTTATCCTACATGTCAGTTCATGACACTAGCATGGGGTTAAATGACAGCATCATAACAGCAGCCTTAAATATGTACAGTTTGGAGAAATTTTGTCAACATGAAAGCGTATACATAACCCACTTTACTATATATACACTACCTATATATATATATATATATATATATATATTGAATATACACAGTATATTCAATGTTTTTTTGGGGGGTTTTTTTGCCAATAACCTTCATATCATCAATGTTAATAGTATAAATCTATAGTATAGCAGTTACCTAAAAATTTCTAAATAATTGAACTAACAGCCCACACAGTCTAGATGACAACAACCAAAAAATAAAGGCAATTTTTTTCCTTTGCAATAATGTGCGCTGCTGACACATTCATTTAAATGGAAACATTTTACAATAAGGTTCCATGAGTTTATCTGAATTAACAGTGAAAAATAATTCTAAAGCAATTAGTACTCTTACTAAATGTTAATTTCAACATTTACTAATTCATTATTAAAATCAAAGTTGTATCTGTTAATATTATTTAATGAACCTGAGCTGACATGAACAGTTGTGTTTTGGTTACACTATTTTAAGGTGTCCTTGTTGCAGTGTAATTATACATTTAATACTGATTAATGTTAATAAACTACATGTACTTGCTATATGGTTAGGGTTAGGATGAGGGTTTGGTTTAGGGTTAGTTGCATGTAATTATGCATCTTTTTTTTTTTATAGTAAATATAAGGACGCCATAAAATATATTTGACCTTTTTTTTTTTTATATTGACAAAAATTCATAAACACTGCAACAACTAAATTGCTCATTGTTAGTTAATGCATTAACTAATGGGACCTTATTGTGAGTTTTTACCATTTTAATAAACTAATTACATTTTAAGTAGTGCTGCCAAATGATTAATCGCGATTAATCACATCCAAAATAAAAGTTTTTGTGTGTACATATTATATGTGTGTACTGTGTATATTTATTATGTATATATAAATACACATACATGCATGCATATATTTCAGAAAAAAATGTTATGTTTATATATTAAATATATGAATATAAATTATATGAATATAAATATATACATGTAAATATTTTCAAAATATATGCTGTATGTGTGTCTTTATATATACATAATAAATATATTATTTACACACAAAAACGTTTATTTTGGATGCGATTAATCGCGATTAATCGTTTGACAGCACTAATTTTAAGTAAATAGGGTCTGTTTTCATTTCATGTTGACTTTATCAGGTTAAAAGAGTGACATATTTTGACTTTGCAAAAATGACCAAAGAGTTATGCATTAATATATGTATCTTAGATACTGGCAAAAAAAATAAAATCAATAAAATAAAGTCAATCACTTCATTGATTAGCAAGTACGTTGTTCCCTTGAGAAAGTTCAAATGTGCATCATACAGTCACGGCATACAATTCCAGTTCATCTTCACTTACATGATTCATCCTTCAATAAAGTATCAAAATAGGAATATGAAAATAACTCCCACTTTCTCCAGTCTGTTTCTCTAGGCAGTCAGACGGGGCGCCATTTTAATAGCACTGAGTTTTTCTACAGATTTCAAAACTGATGTTCAATTCAGGTGAATTAAAAACCTTCTGGACCAAAATAACAGCTTACGCATTGCCAATACTGGATGCCTATCAGACATTCAGAAGATTCGTTTTTGCGTAAATGTATATTTAAGATGGCTGGTTTTATTCTTGTTAACTATTTGAGAAAACGCAGATCAACAGAGGCTCAAGAACATGATGCACTTCATGGCAGTTTCACAACAGGTCCATTCCAATCAATAACCAGATTAAATAATATTCTAAAAGTATACGCAAAGAAGCGTTAATATAATTTGAATGCAAACAGATATACCGCAATATCAAAGGGAAAGAGTCAATTTTTCTAATGACCTGGCAACCACAGCTGAAAGATTTTCAGCTGGAAACTTAAAGGTGCTGTATGTAGGATTGACACCGAGTACTTGAACAAGGTATTGCAGTCCAAATTCAAAATATTGGAGAGGGTTTTTTTCACCCCAGATTGACGACACCAAAAGGAACGAGCGCACTTGACGATGAATGGAATGAAATACGCTGTGTTTTCCGCCAACTGACAACCCGGGGTGACGAAATACAATTGGGTAAACTGGCAGTGGGCGGGTTTCACAAACCAAAACAGAGCTCGACATTCCGGCCCGGAACGCACATATTCAAAGGAGAATAACTGACTGTAGCATTGTTTTTCAGATAAACAAGTATGGTAACTTAGCATGTTTCTTAAATATCTGCAAACATATTATGGTATTTTTATGCTTTAGTAGGGTCAAAAACTTACATACAGCACCTTTAATGCAAAAATGTTCGAAATTCATCCAGCTCTTCGCATAATGGCTACGTTTGAGTCTGATTCCCGTCTGGAGGATATAGCGAGGTTTTCAGTGTTACGTACTTGAATTGTTTGTTTCAAAGTGGATGTCCACTTGTTCGTCAGGGCTGGTTCCTCTCATCCTACGTTTTCAAAGTCTGTAAGGAGAAGATAAGTCGCTGGAGTCTGTCAGCTGGTGTATTTGAGCTTGGATGTCTGTGACGGGGCAGTTAAGGTGGAAGTGGCCGACACCACGGGGGTCATGGCGGCTTTTCGGCTGCTCATGAACATGGGATCCAGACAAGCCACTTTGGCGGCGAAGAAAGCGTGGATGCAGTGGAGAACCGCGAAGAGGTTGGAGAACTCCAGCTCCTGGAAACATCAGGGAGAAAGGAGGAAGCCTCAAGCAGAAATCAAATCAAACTCGGCGCATGAAAGTGCTTGCATTTACGGCCTACGGGGAAAATAATCAAACAGGAAATTCATATCATCACGCTTTATTTTTATCTGCTTCCTTCAGCTATTTCTTTTGCACTGGCAAGATTATGATGTTTTGAAAAGTTTGGAGGTTACCATAAAGTGTATGATATGCTGATGATCCATACTTATTCAGAGTATACCTGGCCTCAGGTATATTAAAATGCTAAAGAGTGTGAAACGTCTTTCTTTTTCATAGACAGACGTTATGAAGCCAATAACAAAAGCAAAAAGAGTGAACTTACCTTTGCTTCAATAAGTTTTGTGTCTTGATTCTGGAACAGGAACTTGATTTTGCTCTTGCCGTCATCTGAGGATCCTTTCAGCTGAGAGAATTTATATCTCCACAGCACTGCCTATAATGGAGGTTTCAATTATGCATATTAATAACTCCATAGACATGAAAAGTATCTTTAATTAACCAGAGAATTGTGGAAAATTACTTTTTATATTTCAAAAATATCTGCATTGAATATTTCATACCCATTAAGCTGTTGTTTATTGCAACTTTTTTCATTCCTTCGATAATGGAATTTCTTAGCTTGTAATTATTTTGCATATTTCAGACAAACAGCACAGGCATATCTCACACAAAAAGCATCAAGACTTCTCATTTTTGTTATTTTATTCCTCATATTTTTATCTGGCTGTTTTAATGTGGACAACTTGAATTTCTGGAGCAAAATAAACATAATATGACTAGATATCTGATGCTGAATTTTCCACTGGGGTACAGGTTGTTAGGAGAGAAAACAAGCATTTGTGTTCTCTCGTGTTCTTACCAATGGGCTTTTAACATAGAAATTTTACATTTATGATTAAAAAAATCTGTTTAAAAATGTAGGGTCTGTAAGAATTTTGTATTTTTGAAAGACGTTTTTATGCTCACCAAGATAAAGATTTGATAAAAGTATGATTAAAAAAATCTGTTTAAAAATGTAGGGTCTGTAAGAATTTTGTATTTTTGAAAGACGTTTTTATGCTTACCAAGATAAAGATTTGATAAAAGTTACAGTAAAAACAGTAATATTGTGAAATATTATTACAATTTTAAATAAGTGTTTTCGATATGAATATATCATTTATTTCTGTGATGTAAAGCTGAATTTTGATCTTTCAGAAATCATTCTAATATGGTGATTTGCTGCTCAAGAAACATTTATTATTATTATCAATGTTGAAAACAGTTGTGCTGCTTAATAATTTTGCTTAATTTTGTTTTTACTGTCACATTTGATAAATTTAATGGGTCCTTTTTGAATAAAAAAATTTTTTTTTTTTTTTTAAATATTAAAGTTCAAAATTTCACATTTAATTCCCTGTGTTATTTGACATTTGCTTTGTCGTTGTTTGTGAAATTTACTAGCAATTTAAGTGAAAACTGTTTCTACACCAACTGTTTTCAGTGTAGTGTATCTTATTAACAAAAACAAAAAATTATTCAAAATTATTTTTTGACGTGAAACTTTTTTTTTTTAACACACCAAAACCACTTTTGGCACACTTGGCCATTGTAGAGTGTTTATTCTACACTTTGTTTGTATGAAAATATTACTTTCCTTTTATTACTTTTTTATTTACTTTATTACTTTTAAATATTATTACTGTGAATATAGCCAGTGGCAGTCTGTTATTACAAACAGAGTCACAGTATCTTAATAGAGTGATAATATTACCAAACACAACAGAACATGCTTTAAACAAGTACAGCAAAAACTCTATTATAACAGGCAAATGTTTATATATGTTTACCTAACATACAGTTGACAGATGAAGCGTGTCATTAAAAAAAGAATAGAAGGTTCTATAAATATTTGGTGTGATATAAATACAAAGCACATAGCAACAGAGTAGCTCTAATGAATGAGAACTTAATGAGAATTTAATAACCTGTGATCATGCTTTTTACTGTTACTTCAATGAAATTAAGACTGAAGGTTGCATGCTTCACCTTTGTGGCGGCATCGAAGCAGACGAAGCCCATGCTGAAATCGATGGTGAGTCCCATGAGATGACTGTCCATGATGCAAGCGTATGTTTTACACTGAAACGGGAGACACTTGGCATTGTTAATCAGACAAACTGGCAGACACAAACATCTCCTCCATCTCTTAAATGTTTAATTAGGACGATAAGTGTCATACATAATTATTTTGGGAGAAAAATAAACAGAAGTGATTTTTTGGCACAAGGCACGGTCAGGGTTTTGCCGCATTAGTTTGGTTTAGTGGGACAACTTGGCAGCGATTTAATTTGTGCCACCCTTGTTTTTCATGAATGTGAAACAGTTGCAGGAAATTGTCCTGCTATCTTCTTGCTAGAATATGGAAAATAGATTTGCTTCAATGCGAAAGTACATGCTGTTCTTACATACTGTATAATATTTGAAATATACATCATTGGATCCTGTACATGAATCTATGGCTATTTCTACAACTATGGCCAATTTTGATCCAGTAAGAACAAAAGCTCTATTAAATGACATTTTTCACACATCAGTGTTAATTTAGAATCATTGATATACCATTATAGTTTTTGTTAATATTTTAAATTAGATTTTATTTGTATATTTCCTGTTTTCACTTTAATTTTAGTTCAAGTTTCAGTAATTCTGTTGTGTTTTTGTCATTTTTATTCATTTAAAAAAAAATATGTCTATATAGTTTTTTTTTATTAATTTTTATTTATTTTGTTATTTTTGTACATCAAGTTAAATGAAATGATTATGAGAATAGAATAAGTATTTGTAACACTGTAATAAGGTTGCATTTGTTAACATTAATGAACTACATTAGTTAACATGAACTAACAATGAAAAATAATTCTAAAACATGTATTTATTAATTTTAGTTCATATTAATTTCCACATTTATTAATACATTATTAAACTCAAAAGTTGTTTCTGTTAACATTATTTAATGGACCTGAGTTTATATATATATATATATATAATAGTATAGTATCAGCTGGTAAAAAAATACCGTACACTGACTTTTGATCAATTTTATTATCAAAATTGTTGGACAAAAAGAGTGGCAAAAAGTGTCAAATTTATGTTCATCATTTTCACAAACTAAAAAATGTTCATTTCAGTATCTGAACTGATTATTTTAGCTTTCGAAATAGTATTCATATTTTTATTATGGATTTTCATATTTATGTTTGAAAGCTTGGGTCTGGGACAAGGGTAAAACAATAAAACCTATCCATAAATAACACCTGAAAAGTACTGTAGCAAAAAATGTGTTTAAATGTGACCTTCATATTAAAAGTTGAAATCTGTTTTGATACAAAAACAACAGCTGGCACATAAAAGTGGCTGTAGCTCAAGAAACACTCATTCGGCAGGTCGAACCCAGGATTAGATTAGATTAATATCGCCAAACAAAATGTGTTTTCATAGTGCGTTTGTGAACAATGTGTTTCCTTCAAGTGCTGAATAACAAATCACACTTCATCTCTTTTTGGCACAGCCTCAATCGCTCAGAGTTTGTGTTGTTCAACATTGTCTGGCAGGTGCAGTTTTATTCGCCTCGATCTTTTATCATGTGAGACGTAACATCACCACTGATAGTCCCTCAATTCACTTACAGAGTTTGATTTAGTCTGTCTGAGCACTTAAACTGGAGTTGGATCACACTAACTCTGCAGACTCTAGGTTCAGTACCTGTATTCGCTCCACTTCGAAGAAGGTGGCCATCTGAAAGGCTTTCTCCCACAGAAGCAGCTCCCATTCCAGCTCCACGCTGAAGAAGATGTCCTCGCCCGAGTCCGTCTGAATGCTGAAGCAGTGCTTCCGCTTGTCCACCAGCTCATTGTCCTAAAATAACGCATTGAGTTGAAATCATGTTAAAACACATAGATGTATGATTTTATGGATTGGCTCATTCTCAAAAATGTCTTTTTCATTTCAGACATATAAAATCTATATAACCTAACCAGTTATTAAAAATAAATACAATAATAAAAAATATAAATATATACATTCCTAAATTATTT